TCGGCGGAAACATGCAAAATAAACCTAATGGTTCAATATATTAGTGTCTGTTGAGTAGTGTAGCTGAAATCTACTGTATCTCTGTGTACAGAATCAGAAAAACTAGCGACCACTAACAGAAATTTCCTGCAGCAACAGCCGGCAAAACAGTAAATTACAAGTCCCATTGCGTTTTGGCTGAACTGATATCGGACCGAATGCGATGCATGACACACTGATGCCTTGTCAAAATGTCGCTCTGAGGTTACAGTCGGACTGGGAAGTTCAATTCCATCCCCTAAACAGAAAATCATGTGCTTTTTATGTGTTTGTATTAATTTGTGACAGGTGTGGACGACCCAAATATCATGGAGTGTGAGATACCTCACGACAAGTCATTTCCAAACTGCAAAAAGCGTGTGGAGGTCTGTATCCGTCCGTATCTGTTCGTTATATCTGACTATCATCGTCTGTCTGATTGTCTGTGCATTTTCATTTTACCCTTACATTAATCATATTCTCTACACTGTTCTGCTGAACTGTTCTACGATACTGACATGAAGAAATTGTGAGACAATCAAGACTTCTTAAATGGGTAATCATTTCCTTTATTCTCGTGACTATTACACTTGATTCAAGGGTGAAACTGTGAGGAGAAAGTAGAAGCCAGTCACTCTAAGGGGTTGAAGGGTTAATGCGTCTATCTATCAACCACTACTAGCCCTCTTTCATTGCTACATGTCTAAATTTATCATCTGTTTATCATTTATTATTATTATTATATATTTATTTATTTATCATCTATCTATAAACCACTACTAGCCCTCTTTCATTGCTACATGTATCAATTTATCATCTATTTATCATTTATTATTATTATATATTTATTTATTTATCATCTATCTATCAACCACTACTAGCCCTCTTTCATTGCTACATGTATTAATTTATCATCTATTTATCCTGTATTTATCATTTATTATTATTATTTATTTATTTATCATCTATCTATCAACCACTACTAGCCCTCTTTCATTGCTACATGTATCAATTTTCTAGTTGTTGCAAAAGAACTGGCGATTGAATTCGTGCTATAAGGAATATGATGTGGACGGAACAACCTGCTCCATTGTTATATATTTAAGCGAGGTAGGTATCGCACTAACTTACTTCCACTGAAGAGAAAAATAAACGAAACCAGTCCTACAACGGAAAGAAGTTTACAGAGTTTAAAAACATGCCTACTTTATCCGGAAATGATTCCCTTGCTTCGACTCTGCCAGATTCAAATACAGACCGAAGTCCCTTGTTAAATAGTTAACCTCTTGAGTGATATACCTCACTGACACAGCGTCTCTTTTCCGGAGAGGAAAAATTGGGCTCTAAAGAGCTGTAACTGAAACTCATCTTAAAACCCATATGTGTAAGTGTTCCACCCGCGATTAGAAATATTCGGGCGACTTAGTTCGTATGCAGAGTTAATCTTTGCCTTAGTCATTCCCTGTGTTAAAGGTCGTTCTAGAATGGTAAGTTTGTCTTTTTTTGCGTTTCGTTTATCCTGACAGGGTTGGTACCAATAGATAATCATGATATAATTGGTTGGTAACTAGGTAGAGTCATGGTGCCCACAATTTCCCTGGAGGAAATACCTGAGGAAGAAGGAACGAAGGCGTAAGAAGGTAATTTCCTATAAAACAGTCATATATCCAAATCATTTACTTCACAACAATCGTTGTCTCCAGCCCTTTTAGCTAATCAGTTGGTGTATTTTCGTGTTTAGCTGGATGATTATTGCGCACTAAAAATATTATGAGCTTCTGATTTATAATTACGTACATGTATAATTACTCGCAAAAATAACAGTGTAAATAACTCGAAAATGACATTAAGTTGCCGCGGGAGATAACCTTACTCTGTTTTAATAGGCTGTATTCCGAGAATCTCCCGATAGATTACTCTCCATGTTAAAGGCGATACCAAGATCTCAGTCAATCAGGTCCCGAATATCAAACATGTGGCCGTATTGGAGAGATGGTGTACATTATATGCAGAAGAAACAAGGAAATGGTGACACAAGAGGAAAAAGGAAGGTCTGAACTCAATAAACATTTTCCCCTGTTTTCATTTTAGAAAAGAACATTTTTGGGCGAACCCGGCTATTGCCTTGTCTTTGCTGCAATTAGCGCTGGGTAGTACTAAATCTAATTCATTTCGTTTAACTTTTTTCGGAAAGGCATGTTACTATGTTCAAGTATGGTACCTGTGGTAGGTAGCCAGACTTTTTAAGGCCGAGACCTGTAAGCTGTAAGGTGAAATCCCTAAGCCACTGGTTAATGCCAATGATTACAGCTTCCGGTAAAGCCTGATTTTATTCTTCACCTAGCACTTATATTGTAGGACACCCAGTTGGATTAAAAACCAAAAGATTGATCAGAATAAAGCGAAATGGAATGGTCTCGGTTGTCATTATTCTGTTCTCTGTCACTGGTCCTGTTGTATATTAGAAGTAATAGAATCTGATGTTGCAGATTATGATTTTCATTGGCGAGTTGACAGAAGCTTCTGCAGACATTTCAGGTTTAACAGATAACCTGTTACAATGGAGTGACCTGCTCGCCTCGCTGTACATCCTTGGTCATGATGTCACTATTCACTCAGATCGAGTCGAATTGCTGAGGTAGTATACCGTTAGATTCATAGACTTAACCTACGAGTAGTCCGTTTTTCTTGGGGTTGGCGCCTAGAGACCTGAATCTCTACGAAAGCGGGGTTTTGTATTAAACACTTATGTGTTGTCTATGTAAGGTTAACGTGGGTTCATTTGATTAAACTGCACTTGAACTAACCCAACAGTTTCTGTAAATTCCGGAATTGACTTAAGAAGGTGCAAAATGCTTAGGGCTTCAGCCGCCCAAGTAGTTATCGTGGACTCAGAGTCCTGTGAAAGAAATTAAGCAATTTTAAAAATTAAGCAATTTTTACAAATTAAGCAGTTTTTACAAATTAAGCAATTTTACAAAAAGGAGATAACGGGAAAATCGCGCTCAAGGGGGAATCGTGAGTAACACCCCAAAGTAGAACTTGAAATTTTCAACTGCTAGGGGTTCAGCGCCTACCCCTAAGGTAGCGTTGTGGCGCCACAATCAAATGAGATGTGAAGACCAAGTGGACACCAAGTATTTTATGTCTTGTATCATGAATTCGTAAAAGAAGTGTTGTGACAGTCCCCAGTGCTTTGCTGTCAGCGTTGCACATTTTACCTGGGTCACTTATTCTCAGTGCCTTGCTCTTCCACTGTTAGCGTTGCACATTTTACCTGGGTCAGTTATCCCCAGTGCTTTGCTCTTCCACTGTTAGCGTTGCACATTTTACCTGGGTCACTTATCCTCAGTGCTTTGCTCTTCCACTGTTAGCGTTGCACATTTTACCTGGGTCACTTATCCAGAGAGATAAGAGAAATTGCACTAAATATTGCTAGAGGAATATTAACCTACAGGTTTTTCCATTGGGTCTGCGTTCTGAGAGGTGACAGAGGTTAACAACCACATTCCCAGATCTTCCCATCCGCAGTGAAAGTCTAGTTATTACTGATAATCTTTCTATACACTTGATTTAGTTTCTTGACAGATGGGAGCCAGTTCATGTACCATGGCTGTGATAAAGGAGAGTCAGATATTGATCTGATATATATCGATATAACAGGTTTACAAATACTAATGATATCAGCACCTGATCCAAGAACACGCTCACTTATATGGTCTAAGTTCAGGTAATGTTATGTCCTCTACATCTCACCCTTACCTCGGATTGAAATCGGACTCAGAGGCTTTCAACTGGACACCATCACATTCATAAAATTAACAATGCGTTCATGCGTCAGAGTGCGTTCATCGAGATACGAGGCATGACAAAAGTTTAACAATTAACCATAGCTTCTAAGGTGTTCTGCAAGCGTTCATCGCGATATGAGTCAAAGGGGGAGGTTTGGAAATCGTGTCGGGTGTTCTACGCGTGTTCTTCGAGATAGAAGGCAAGTAGGAACTTTTAATAACAAGTCTAGCTTCTTATATGTTCTCCAAACTTCCCAAGTCCAGCTAACGCTTGAATTAATATCCTTTAATCTGTCGAACAAGCTTCCCAGTGCTACGCTTTAATGCTTACATCATACAAACATCATCAGAGCACACAATGAAAAGATGAAGCACGCCTGTTCAATGACGTCACTAGCTATGTTGTAAACCAAATTCTGAGACTATCATAGATTCTTAAAACTCGTATATAATTGCAACTAGCACAAACTAGTTGTAGGTTGTTTAATTGCATGGTAAGTTGCTTACGCAATCATGATCTTTTCTGATGACATCCGTGTATGGGTCCAGCAGTACTAGCACTGAAATGCTAACTGAGTTCTGCGGTACTTTCTTTCAGTTGTCGCCTTCGCGTGGTTTCTCCTTTTGGGATGGACGCCGAATTCAATTACAGGGATTATTCCGGACCACTTATGGGAGAACGTTCTCGACAAGGCAACTGGAACCTAAACCTCAAGCAGTTCTTGACCAGATATCGTGAGTTTCTGCTGAATATGCGGCATTTACCACTCCTCGCATAATATGAAAACTATGTCACATACAATTTTTATGGTGTGTATACATATGTACAGCTACTCTACCATAACTGTTCGTTAGTATGGGTGCACGTGAAACTGAACTGAAGAGAGTGTCGGTTCTTCCGAGAGCTCCAAAATATTTTTCCTTATTGAACTATTGCTAAAATTTATCGAGGTTGTCACAAATATATATATTTATTATCCAACTACACCTAGAAGAGTACAAATAATGCCATAGGCGAGTACAAATATCAAGCGGTATTTGTACTCGTCTATTGTAGAGTACCGGTTAAACAGGTTTTCTCGCATCGCGCAAGCGAATTGTAATTACGAAAAAAAAACAAATGGCGGACAATTTGAATCATATTTCCGACGACGAACAGTCAGAATGGCTGGCAAATATAGATCCAAGTTCATTAGATGAATCGAACGAAGAAAAACAGCTTGACGGCCAGAAAATTTCTTCATTTAATGAAGAAAATAGAAACAGCAGC